TGTGTGTGTGTGTGTGTGTGTGTGTGTGTGTGTGTGTGTGTGCGTGTGTGTGTGAGTGTGTGTGTTTGTGTGTGTGTGTGTGTGTTGCATAATGTGCTCTGCGGCGTGTAACATTCTATTTCTTCAACATTATAAGAACTGAGTCCATTGATGGGCTAACAGATATGAGTGCTCAAATACGCAATAGAGGACCAGTTTGGTTTGGTTAGGTTCATTCAGTTTCTGGTGACGTTAGTGCACACTGTAAATAGACCCCTGCCTCAAGCCGATTGCCTGACTCGCGGCCTTGAAAACAAACGCGTTTGTTCTTAAAGGTCATCGTTGGTTTTGCTGTTTGTGCCACCATGGTAGCTTTTTTTCCCTCCATGGAGGAAATTCTGGCTTGTCCCGAAAACCATACCGAACCGAACCGAACTGAACCGATCTTGCCGATGGGCACTAGGTATAAGATTCCCCCTAAGGGTTGTCCAGCGAGATAGAGCCAGAAAAGAAGGTTTAATTAATGCTTCTTCATTCGATCACTGCTTGTGTCCCATTTTAATGGTATATAATGTAGGCTTTCTTACCTCCGTCCTAACACAAACGATATCAAAGCCTACAACAAGCCAACAAAACGAAACCTTACCATGCCGAGCAGGAATAGTGGTTGCCTTGCTTTGTTTTCAGGAACATCGCTTTGATTCACACCGGAATTGGCGACCAGGTGGGAGTGGCTCTTCAGTATGGTGCCACTTTTGTCTTTGCCTACTGCATGAGCTTCTTCTATAGCTGGAAACTGTCTCTGGTCATGGTGAGCCTTATGCCGCTGATGATTCTGTCATCTGGAGTCTCCTCAGGGGTAAATAGACCGCTCAAGAAACAAATATTACATCAGCAGCAGCAGCATCATCATCATCATCATCATCATCATCATCAACCTCATCATCATCATCATCATCATCATCATCATCATCATCATCATCATCATCATCATAATCATCATCATCATCATCATCATCATCATCACTGCCTTTCTCATCCTGTATCAGGTGCAGACCACGAGCAAACACTTCTTACCTTTCCTTATCCTGAACTATCCTTGTCTTACTACTTTTCCGTACATTATTCTCGTTGACTTTTCTCCAGATTACAAGTGGCCTTGATCTATTAGCCTGTTGATTCTAACCCAAACTTTTCGTTAAAAACTTTCGTTAAATTGGACGTGTTTATTAGTGTTTTTACTTTGTATTTGGGATGTTTTTTAAATTTAAGTAGTAGGCCCTTCGTCAACTGGATTTTATTAGGAGTACAGACCTACGCAACGTCGGTGGCAACCATATTTTTCTCGGAGAAGTAGTATGACGGAACGCAATGATTCATTCTTGTGGTCACGCAAACAAAGCCAAAAGAAAATCAGTGCATTTTATATCCCTTGATGGAGGCTCTCGTGGCCTAGAGGTACGGTGTTCGTCTCTCATTCCGAGGTCCCCGGTTCATAACCTGACAGTGTCCAAAATTTTTCTTCTCTAAAATGGTCTCTGTTTACCTCTATCCCTGTTTTCTATCCATGTACTGTCATTTGCTTACATCTCCACTTTCTTCCCGCCCCTACCCCCGGCCTCCTTTACTCCAGACTTTTCTACTGCTACTCCTGGCTCCTTCTCACTGCTGTCTTTCACCCACACCACTGATCTTAGTACAGGTATGGTCAAATACCTTGTCTTCTCAGTTAAGGTAGAAAAATCTCAGAGGTCCTGTGTGCAAGTTGCGCACGGTCCTAAAATCGATCGAAGCAGGCTTCGGCTGTCATCTGTTCAAAATCAATTCCCATCAAAAGGGAAAATGGTCTAGTCAGTATAAAAACAATATAGTACCTGTGAGGTCGGAATGCGGCTGTCTGAGGGTTGAAGAACCAGCCGTCGACTACTCTTGAGATCTAGCAGGGTAACATAAAAGAGCAAAGAAGACGACACCGCTTGACAAGCCCAACGTAGCCCCAACACTGCAACGATGGGATATTAGCTCATTAAGAGTTGGTGTTTTGTTTGGGGGGGGGGGGGTGGCTTTATGAATCATGCTGTGTTGGACTGAAACGCATACAAAACTGAAAACAAACCCTTACCTCTTTCAGAAGTGTTAAACCGGAATAGAAACGAGATTCTTGACCCCGCTTCCGTTTTCCAGGCGGTTGGGCTTTGCTGTCTGAATAATATTATTATGTTCTCTTTGTATTCCCTTTCCTTTCCCCAGATTAGTATGAATTACTCAAGCACGGATTCCGAACATGTTCTTGTTTGTTTACTTTTTGTGTGGGGATTTTTTTAGGTTATTAATTTTCATCTAATTAGGCACTTTCAAAATCTGAATCCTAGAGTGGGACGTAGAAGCATATGGTCTACCTACTGACACCGGAACACAATAGCTACATTGTGTACAATGCCAGTGTGCTGAGGATGGTGTCATAATGGCCAGTCCTGTAGTACTTCAGAACACGAGATTTTCTCGGCTATGTGACATATAATGTCTCTGGCTGGAGAAGCTGGAGACACAGCTCATTGTACTCCAGAACTGACTGCTGTCTCTATTAGAAGATGGGGTGGAGAGAGTGTGCCCTTTTGAAAAATACAAACACGCCAAAGCTAAACAAGGATAAGAAAAACACAAAACAGAAACAATAAAAACTGTGGTTTGTTCAGACATTGATGTTAACAGGAATCATAAAGTGTATTACGTTTTTGCTTCGTGTCTTCCTTTGCAGCACATATGCATTTCAAAGTAAGAAACTACGGTGAGTCTTTGCAAACTGCAATTCGTCTTTTGATATGCCTAAAACCTGCAAAGGCCTTGCATCACAAGCAAATCATTTGTGCATAGTATGCCAAAAGAAAATACGATTGCATAGACAAATAGACTGCTCTTAGCCCCGTGGATATGTATACCCTTACTTACCTTCCCCTTCCTTTCCCATACAATTTCCCCTTCTCGATTTTTTAAAAAATTATCTCCACCGTCACCAATTAATAATTAGTAGTTTTTTGTGTTATATCTTACAAAGAACAGACTAATAACAATCATTCAGTCAGTTCCTTGATAATTGCAATTCCTACAATGTCGTTTGCTTATTGCATTGTATATTTTCAGATAAATGCAAAACTTGCAGGTAAAATGCGAATTGCCTACGCTAAAGCAGGCGCCATAGCTGAAGAGGCTTTCTCGGCAATACGTACAGTGGCGGCATTTGGAGGGGAGGATGTCGAAGGAGACAGGTCATCATCATCATCATCATCATCATCATCATCATCATCATCATCATAGTCCTTTTTTAAAGAGAAAAGAAAGAAAAGAGATTATCGGAAACGTTTTGAACACTTCACTGTAAGTTACATAATATGCAAAATAAATTATCAAACAATCATTTTAGTAAACATCAAAGAGAACGACAACAACAGCAACAATATAAACATGAATAGAATGGGAGTAACCACAACGGAATTCTCTTCAAGCAAACTTTAAAGTGACGTGAAACAGCAACAACAATAACAGCCAACAAAAATTAAACAATCATCTAGAAGCACAATTTCAATCAATTTCACAGATATGCAGTGCAATTGTTATATTCTGTGTGGGGCGGCTCTGGTACAAAAACCAAAATTAACATATTTATTGAATTTTGCAACACCCTGAAACACAATTGTCTGATTACACAACGCGTACAGGCTTGTTATGTCATGTGGCACCGAATACCACTTTTATTTGATGAGACACCAAAATCAATGTGTCCAGCGCTTTCTTTGTCTTTCATTGTGCTAACTCTCAGTTCCTCCACCCCAGGTATTGCAACAACCTGCATGCGGCTAAAGATGTTGGAGTCCGCATGGGATTGGTCAGTGGTGTCGGGAAAGGCTTCCTATGGAGCAGCCTCTTTTTCGCCAACGCCATGGGGTTTTGGTACGGAGGGAAGCTGGTACGGCACGACGACATAGAGGTTTCCGAGATGTTCACGGTATGCTGAACACAGACGATACCACAGGGGGGGAGATAGATAGATAGATAGATAGATAGATAGATAGATAGATAGATAGATAGATAGACAAAAACGACAAGAGGAGTAATATTGAGAAATTGTGAATACTTACTGCCTTGAGGTCTCTCACAACGTAGTAAATGATAACTTTTTTTGGTTTGTTTTTTGGTAAGTGTTTTACCGCGCTTGCAGCTGCATAAGGTCACTTGAACGCGAGGGACACACCTAATATTTTCAGTTGGAAGGAAATTTTGAATTTTGCCCGGATGGCGGCCAAAGCATACTCTTATCGATTAACTTTTAGAGCACCAAGGGATCTTTAACGTGGGCAACTTAACACAGGACCTCCGAGATTGTTCGCCACTGTCCTAGAAAGCTAGGTGTAGATCTTTCCTACCAGAAGATCAGTGGTGTGGCTGAAAGACAGCAGTAAGAAGGAGCCTTGGAGTAGCATTAGAAAAGCTGCACAGAGAGTCAGGAGCCCTGAGGAGGGCGCAAAGGAGGTGAGGGGGGGGGCAGAAAGTGGAGACGAAAGCAGACGACAGAATATTGCTAGGGAGCAGGAAAGGACGTGAAAACGGACAATTTTAGAGAAGAAAATGTTTCCGTTGTTACTCGAACTCGAACCCGAGACCTTTGAATGAGAGGCAAACACCTCAACCTCTAGGCCACAAGAGCCCCCAAATGGTGACTACCTTTTGCTGTTTAAGTAATCACTGAAGAAAAAAGGGTTTTTAGAATGTTTTAACTGATTCAAAATAATAAAATACATACCATTTGTGTCAGTGAAACGGGACACTAAAACAAAATCAATATAAAATAAATTCATTATGCATTCTATAGATATGGTTACATGTCAACACGAGATAAGCCATGTTTGAAGATATCGTTGCCTCTGAACTATTTTGTCTGACTGGCACGTTTAACCATAGAGTGTCCTTTGGACGAAATAGTTCTGGGGCGACAATTTATTTCATGACATGCTTCATAACATCTTTATTTCCATCTTTCTTTAGTAATGTGTACTTCATCTGTGGTAAATGCTATGAATTCCCAGGTTTATTTTTGCATTTTCTTGGGCACGATGGGAGCAGGATTTGCAATTCCAGCCTGGGATGCGTTTCGGGTTGGACAAAGCGCTGCCTATGGAGTGTTTGAGATCATTAAGCAGGTGTGTCTCAAATCTTTGTCTATGAAGTCTTCGGTTAATAGCACGATTCTTTTTATTTTATCTCAACGTCCACAGTCGTCAGTTTAATTGCTTTAATATTTTTTTACTTATTATTTAAGATTGTTTGTTCAAATCCGCTTTTGTTAATACAGAGGTAACTTGGCTTACAAATTTTAATATGAACGTAATAGAATTTCAAAAATAGACATGTTGAAACTCTGACAGTTTCCACACGTTCGTTCAGCCCCCCCCCCCCTCCTTTTTAGGGGAGGAGGGAGGCTATGTATGGAATATAGAACAAGTTGGTAGTGATTGCAGCCATGTTTTACATACACCCCTGGTTCTATGAGCGGTCGCAGGTACGTTTACACGTCGTGTGATGACGGTGGGGCGGAGATGCTATGGGACCTTCCTTGCAAAAATATTGGATTCTTGTTTTGGAAAAACACAAATTGTTAATACTGAAACAAACAGAGATCCCAAAAGATACTGGAATAAACATTTATCTACGTGTGGAACATGTTTACTGTATTGCGCCTCCTCAGAATGAAGTTATTTTAGGACCTGTTAGTAACCGGAATTCGTAAATGAAATGTTTCTAGTAAATGTAAGGCGATTTATTCACAGAAACCGAACGTTGACAACCTGTCCACGGCGGGACTGACACCATTGTCTATCTCCGGCTCCGTGGAGTTCCGCAACGTCAATTTCAGCTACCCGACTCGACCTGATGTGGTGGTATGTGCGAGGAGAAAACCAACTTCTCTTTCTTTTTTAAGGTTGATAATGTAGAAGGGAAATGTTGATGGAAAGTTAACTTCCGCCTTAGTGCGTAAACAGGGTTATCGAAATTTTGTTTGCCGCAGGTGAGATATCATGCCAAACTTCGTATTAAAATGGCTTTGCTGCAAATGAGGTGCGCTAATAAAATTGGCCGAAATAGTGCTCAGTTGCAAATGTCCTTTTCACTTCCTGAAATTGCCACTTTGGTAGCTTTCTGTGTTGATATTCAAAATTTGAAAAGATTATGTTTACGGCACCAGTTGTCTTCCGTTGCCACGCGTACTGGACCTAGAAATTGTGTTCTTTAACTAAGTGTAGTAGAATAAAAATTTAAAAATCATTTTAAAATGCACGTCTTCTGTCTTTATCATATCATGCGGAATAATGATGAATTATCTAACAATAGACTGTATACTGTAAGAAGCCGGGGTTGTTTTTTTTCTTAATGGCTTTGGAAATGTTCATTATGGCTTACAAATTCAGGACCTTAGCAGTGTTAATCCCAAACACTGGGCGTGCTTTGAAAACCGTATCGTAGAAATATGGCAAATGGTGTGAGTCTATGACAAGTTATTAGAAGTTAAGATATTTTATCGGTGCGAACTGAATTTTTTTTGACGCACTAATTCATGGAAAATCGTTAACTAACTTAAATGCGGGAAAAGTGAACTTAAGCCCTCCCTTCGGAACTTACTTGACCTTTCCACTCTCTGGAGTTTACATTTTGTTAGTCGTCACCTCTTGAACATAAAATGCGTTTCATTATCTAAAGAATTGGGGAAAAGAGGGAGGGGTGTCTCAAATTGATTTTTACCGTAATTGCTATTATACGGCTTTTGTTGAAGACACTTTGTTCAGTAACCACCTTTGGGAGAGGGGTTCTGGGTTCTTGAAATTCTACGCTTTTGAGATGCTCATAGTATAATACTGAAGGAAGACTATACAGAATCTTTTAAACTGACCTTTTCAAACGGAAATGTGGGAAATGTTGAATGAATGTTTAGAAGCACAACTGATATGAACTTAGAGACTTGTTCTTCTTTGGGGTCTTTTTTCGATTTATTTCCAGATATTCTCTGATCTAAGCTTGACAGTTCCTAAGGGTCAGACAGTCGCTTTTGTTGGTTCTAGCGGGTGTGGAAAGAGTACTGCTACCCAGCTGCTGCTGCGCTTTTACGACGTGCTGGGAGGGAAGGCAAGTACCGTACCACTAGAACATTAAAAAGCCAAAGTCAAGACAGGTCTACCCATATTTGTTGGGGAAACTTACTTTACGTTTCGGTGGTGGTGTCCTTGGGAAAGGCACATTATATGAAAATGTTCTCCCTTACTCCAAGTGGGAATGAGTAACCAGCTATAGACAGTGAAAGATGTTGTCAATTTATGAGTATTTTAGTGCTTACACTCTGCCTTCTGGAAAGCTGAGAATGTTTCTGAGTGTTGATATAGATTATAAAGTGCTTACAGCTTGCTTTTGAGCGAGAATATGCGTTGTACGAACACTGCTCCTTCTTCTTCTTCTTCTTCTTCTTCTTCTTCTTCTTCTTCTTCTTCTTCTTCT